GACTAGATTAATTTAGGATATCTGTTCAACATGGGCGAATTGGACCGAAGGGTGTGTTTCTGTGCTGTGACCTGTCTGCCTTGTTAAGACCATTCAGGGTCTTGTGTACTTCAATCAAGTCATTCCTTACTCTTCTAAATTCTAGTGAAAACAAACCCAGTCTGTCCAACCTTTCCTCATAAGGTATCCCACTCCTTCCAGGTATCAATCTAGTAAACATCCTCTGAAGCATCTCCAATCCATTCCACCATATCTTTAAAAAAAAAGTCCAGAACTGCACAAAGTATTTGCAATAAGATCTCTTCAACACCCTTACCTTCATGGTTCAGTTTCTCTTGTAATGGAGGACAGCATTCCATTAGCTTTCTCAATTGATTCCTGTACCTGCATACTAATTTCTTGTGACTCATGCACTAGATCCCTCCTCCACACTGAATTCTGCAGTTATTTGGCACTTAAGTCATGCTCATTCTCAATTTTCCCGCTGAAGAGAATAAATTCAGATTTTCCCACATTGTACTCCACCTGCCAGATTTTTGCCCACCCATTCAATCTACCTGTAAACACCATATGTCCTCTTCACATCATAAAAATAAACTTTCCTTCTCCTCTTTCTGTCATCTGCAAACTTGGCTACTAGTGCCTTTGTTCCTTTTCGCTAAGTCATTAACGTTAGTTGTAAAATGCTGAGGCTCCAGCACAGACGGCTGTAGCACTCCATGTGTTACATCCTGCCAATTAGAGAAAGACCCGTTTATGTATACTCTATTTTCTGCCAACCAGCCAGCCTTCTGTCCGTGCTGGTATTTTATCCACGACACTTTGTGTTTCAACTCTGCGTAATAACCTTTTAGGTGGCATATTAACAAATGCTGAAAATTCAGTATATTAGTGGGTTCCTTTTATCCACAGCACGCACTACCCCTTCCAAGGATTCCAATAAATTGACTAAACATGGCTTCCCTTTCACAGATTCATGCTGACTCTGATAACCATGACTTTTTCTAAGTGCCCAGACATAACCTCCTTAATGATCGATTCTAACACATTCCCCATGACAGACTAAAAGGCCAACAGTTTCCTGTTTACTGCCTCCATCTCTTCTTGAATAGAAGAGTTATATTTTCTACTATCACGTCTGATGGAACCTTTCCAGAAAATTAACACTGACACATCTTCTACCTCAATAGCCACCTCTTTTAAGAACCTAGCTGGAAGTCTACCTGAACTCGGAGACCGGTTAGTCTGTGGCTCCATCAGTATGCTCAGTACTGCTTCCCTGCTGATTGTATTTTCACCATAGAATCCCTACAGTGTGGCAGCAGGCCATTCGTCCCACAGAGTCAACACCGACCCTCCAAACAGCATCCCACCCAGACCCACCACCACCGTAGCCCTGCCTTTCCTATGGCTAACCCACCTAGTCTGGACACTATGGGGTAATTTACCACGGCCAACCCAGCCTAACCTGCACATCCTTGGACTGTGGGAGGAAACCGGAGCACCCAGAGGACACCCACGCAGACACGGGGAGAATGTGCAAACTCCACACAGACAGTCGCCTGAGGGTGGGATTGAAATCGGGTCCCTGGCACCGTGAGGGAGCAGTGCTAACCACTGAGCCAGCAGACCACCTTAGTTCCCCTCTCTCCTCTTGATTAATAGGTATTACTGGGATTTGTTTTGTATGTTTGATAGTGCTTAAATGGTAATGTCACAACCTGTAATATAAATGTTGTAATCCCTTTGGGCTCTGGTCATCCCTGCACTGTAAACACTGCAATCCCTCTGGGCTCTGGTGATCCCCGCATTGTAAACACTGCGATCCCCTGGGCTCTGGTGATCCCTGCACTGCGACCCCTCTGGGCTCTGGTGATCCCTGCACTGTAAACACTGCCATCCCTCTGGGCTCTGGTGATCCCTGCACTGTAAACACTGCGACCCCTCTGGGCTCTGGTGATCCCTGCACTGTAAACACTGCGACCCCTCTGGGTTCTGGTGATCCCTGCACTGTAAACACTGCAACCCCTCTGGGCTCTGGTGATCCCTGCACCGTAAACTGTCCAGGCTCCAGAGATACCAGCATTGTTAGATAAAGTCACCATAGGGCTGCCCTCTCATTAAAGAGATGATTGACCGTGGTTTAACTTGAGGGTCACCACACCTCAGGCGAGGGGAGAGGTTGAGATGGAGATTCCTTCATGGTGACCTCCGTCAGTGCAGGAATTGAATCCACACTGTTGGTGTCACTCTGTGTTGCAAACCAGCTGTCCAGCCAACTGAGCTGACCCCCACCCAGCACTGTATACGTTGTAACCCCTCTGGGCTCGGTGTTCGGCACACAGTAAACACACTGCAACATCTCCAGGCTCTGATATCTCCACATTGCAAACACCAGGACTTCTTTGGGCACTGGCGATGCCAGTCTGCAATACGGCATGGGCTCCCTAAAGGATTTCAATACAGTGCCACACAATAAAAGTGAAAGAAGTTATAGCTCAAAGGATAAAAGGTGCAGGAGCAACACGGGTACAACACTAGCTGTTTAATGGGAAACTGAGTAACGATTAACAGATTTTTTTTTTAGAATGCAGGAAGGTTTGTCTTGGAGTCCCAGCATTGGGCCCCTTGCTTTTCCTGATTTATATTAATGATCTAAATCTTGCAGTGCAGTGAACTGCACGACACTTGGAAACATTATAAACTATGAAGAGGACAGTGTATGACATCAACTTGTCAATGTCCTCTTGTGAGTGGATGATCGGTGAAGGATGGAAGTCAACGCAGAAAAATGTGAAATGATACATTTCAATGGAGAGATATAAAGGGTATTCTAAATGCTGTGCAGGGGCATAGAGACCCGCTTGTACATGTGCATAAGTCATTGGAATGTTGCAGGCCAGGTCGAGAGAGTTGTTGATAAAATCCTGTGTTAATTCATCCCAGCCTAGGATTTATTGATAGGGGCATAGAGTACAGGAGCAGGGAGGAGGTTGTGCTAAACTTCTATAAAGGCAAAGCCACCACAGTCATACCAGACCATGAGGGGTACTCTCTCATTCAAGAGAAATAACTGGTGGTGGTTTAACTTGAGGGCCACTACGACTCAGGCGAGGGGAGAGACTGAGAAGGAAAGGCTAACGTGGTGATCTCAGCCAGTGTGGGAGTTGAATCCAAGCTGTTGGCATTATTCTGTGTCACAAACCAGCCGGCAAGCTAAATGGACCCTAAACTTGTATCAGACCCAAGTTAGAGCGTGTTAGCTGGAGTATCGTGTACAATTCTAGGCGCCATACTTTAGGAATGATGCACAGCAAACTTTTTATTAACCGGCACCCGTGGGACCGGGAGTGTGCTGGTTGGTCAAATATTCTGGATAATTAAGAGGCACACATAACCGCAGTAGAAGGGTCTAAGCCTGAAACGTTAGCCTTCCTGCTCCTCTGATGCTGCTTGGCCTGCTGTGTTCATCCAGCTCTACACCTTGTTATCTCAGATTCTCCAGCATCTGCAGTTCCTACTATCTCCTACACCTTGTTATCTCTTTTACCAGGATGTTGCCAGGTACGGAGGGTTTGAGTTAAAAGGAAAGGCTGGGACTTTTTTCACTGGAGTGTAGGAGGTTGAGGTGTGACCTTTTAGACGTTTATAAGGTCATGACGGGTATAGTTAAGGTGAATGGCAGGTGTCTTTTCCCTTGGGTGCGGGCGTTCAAAACTAGGGGGCATATTTTTTTAAGGTGGGAGGAGCAAGTTTAAGAAAAGACATGGGGGCATTTTTTTTCACACAGAGAATGGTCATGTGTAGAATGAGCTTCCAGAGGAAGTGGTGGATGTGGGTACAGTTACAACATTTAAAAGACATTTGGATAAGTACATGAATAAGAAAGGTTTGGAAGGATATGGCCCACAAGCAGGCAGGTGGGACTAGTTTAGTTTGGGATTATGCTCAGCATGGACTGGTTGGACCGAAGGGTCCGTTTCTGTGCTGTATGATTCTCTGAGAGGACGCAGGTTTAAAGTGATTTGCAAAAGTAGCAACGAGGTGCAAGAGAAAAAACATTTTCACACTGCAAGTAGTTAGGGTCTGGAATAAATGTGGTGGCAGCAGATTCAATTGAGGAATTAGATTATCGGAATATAAACAATATGCAGGGTTAGGCAGGAAAGGGCAAGAGAATGGCACTACATCTTGCCTTCATTGGTCAGTGCATTGAGTACAGAAGTTGTGAGGGTCATGTTGCGGCTGTACAGGACATTGGTTAGGGCCACTTTTGGAATACTGTGTTCAATTCTGGTCTCCCTGCTGTAGGAAGGATGTTGTGAAACTTGAAAGGCTTCAGAAAAGATTTACAAGGATGTTGGAGGGTTTGAACTACAGGGAGAGGCAGAATAGGCTGGGGCTGTTTTCCCTGGAGTGTCGGAGGCTGAGGGGGTGACCTTATAGAGGTTTATAAAATCATGAGGGGCATGGATAGGGTGAATAGACAAGGTCTTTTCCCAACGGTAGGGATGTCCACAACTAGAGGGGCATAGGTTTAAGGTGAGAGGGGTAAAGATTTAAAAGGTACATGAGGGGCAGCTTTTTCACGCAGAGGGTGATGCGTGTACAGAACGAGCTGCCAGAGGAAGTGGTGGATGCTGGTACAATTACAACATTTAAAAGGCATCTGGATGGATACATGAATAGGAAGGGTTTAGAGAGATAGGGGCCAAATGCTGGCAAACGGGGCTAGATTAATTTAGGATATCTGGGTCAGCATGGACGAGTTTGACCAAAGGGTCCGTTTCCGTGTTGTACATCTCCGTGACCCTAAGTCATGACATTCCTTCGGCGTGCTGGTGCACACAGGATGGGATGAATGGCCTCATTCTGCACCATAACAATTCTGGGACTCCTCTAGATCATTGTAACCTCTGTCACTGTGGAGATGTTAAATCCTGGAAAGCCCACCATACTGGCGTGCTCCACCCCACCAGTTTAACCTGATCATGTTTTACCTGAATCGGACGTCGAGGTTCGCTGTTCACCAAGGGAGCGCGATGGCTGTCGCTCAGTCCTGGAAAAGACAAAACGCGGTCACTTTTGGTGGTGCAGAACTTGAAATATCACTAAAAAGGAAGTCACGTTGCAGAAGGTTTTGGTCCTGCAATCGTTCATGAGCAATGCCAAGAATGCCAAATTTCAAACAATCACAACAATTTCTACTGCCCAAGAGATGCTGGCTGACTATGCCTCCAGTCCACTCTGACTGCTGCAGGCACTGTGGAGACCATACCAAACAAGCTCTGTGCTCACAATCAAAACATCTACAGTTAAATACAATGCTGAACAATCCCAAGTGCACCAACAGCTAACCCGATAATCAGTTTAACATAAGCGACATATATCCATGCACAGGGATGCGTTTTCTGAAAACAAGGGGAATATTTTCAATTGTTGCATCTTCATTGAATCACACAGGGGCCTGGGACGCCTGTAGCTCCCCACTGCCTTCTCCAATGACAACGTTGTGACCAATCAGGATCATTGTGCCAACCAATCTGCACCCTTTCCACCTACAGTACAAACTGCTCTGATCGCCTGAAATTTGGCATTTCTGGCATTTATCTTGAACAGCGCTACATGGAAAAGCTTCAGAAAAGTATTCGTCTTTTCAGTAATTAAAAAGAAAACTTGCTTCACAAGCCATCACTTCATCGGGAGAAGCCCACAGCCATTACCAAAACCTGGTCCAACGTTCTAAACACTCTGGCTCAGCAGAACGGTGACCAGGAAAGCAAACATTCCCAATCCGAACAGTTTTACAAGCGAGATGGGAAAGAGACGAAGGTGGAAAAGACAATGCCTCTCGAGTGGTGAGGGGTTGTGGGGGGAGAGAACAGAATCCTCAGCAGGACAGGAAAGAGGGAAGTAGCACATTGGGTTGTGGGGCTGTGGTAGGGAGGGAAGAGAGATCACAGCGGTTACTGAAGTGGGGAACACTGAGGGTGGGAAAGGAAAAGAGAGAGAAATGGTGATGGGAAATAGGGAGAAACTGCGGATGGGGACTGAGGGAAGAGACAGCATGTTTGGAGAGGCGGAGGGGACAAGGAAGACGGAGACAGGATTCCATCGGGCCGGGCGGGGAGGGGACGGAGGGGAGGAAGAGAGACAGAGGGAATCCATGATAGGTGAGGTGGAGGGGATTGCTGTTGGAGATTGAGGGGACAGAGCATGTGGGAGGCGTAGGACACACAGTACAAGAGAAAAGCCAGGCAGAGGTTTGAAGGCTGCAATTGGGGAAGGAGAACACAAGGAGTGTGGGGCGGAGGAGGAACAAACAAATCCACGGTGTGGGTGGCCAATGGTTATGAATTCAGGGAAAAAGTTGGAAAGGACATGAGATGAGTGTCTGGCCAAGGGGGAGGCACGGGTGAGCATAGTGAGTGGCAGTTTGTTGACTGCCTCGTGCTGCATGTCGTGCCCTCTGAGTCACACAGAGAACAGCAGCGGTGGGGCATGAACTCGGATTGTCCGAGTGTGTGAGTGCGCACGCGTGCGCATGGCAGACTGCTGCTGGAGCAGAGAATGCCTTACCGACGAGAGTCAGAGGATTGACGTAAGCCGCCAACGGGACATGCCTCGTGCGGTGAGATGGGGGAAGGCCGCCATCTCTGAGGTTGTATCCCTCCGAGGAGTCCTGCCCTCCACTCACTGGGACAGTCAGCAGAGTCGGGGTTCTTGATGCCAATCTGAGAAAGGCAAAAGAATGATGTTGTCACCACCACTTTCATGAACAGGCCCTGAAAGCATCAAGTAATCCCCTATGCACTTCATTAATACAACCACCCCCCAACCCTGACAACACACACAGAGGCACACACACACACACAGGCACATATACACACATGCACACCCACACACAGGCGGCAGGAGTTGGCAGGAGCAATGAAGAGTCGCATTAAAGTATCTCAGTTGGGAGTTTCCTGCCATGACCGTGTTTAGCTTCGAACTGGGTGTCTTCTGCCAGGCCTACAAGTGCTTGGCAGAGCAGCTTTCCAGTGACCAGGGGGTCACACGGTGTCCTCCAACTTTGCTGTCTCCATCCTGTCCTGCAACGTAGTCTCCACACATCACCTCCTGGAGTTTCATTTGTACAGAGATACCTTCAACAGTGCACCCTCTGCTGCTCCATCTCCAAACAGCTTCTGGACCTCACCCACTTCCAAACAATTAGATGGCTGAAGCTTTCATCACAGAATCATCAGAGAATCCCTACAGTGTGGAAGCAGGCCAATTGGCCCATCAAGTACACACCAACCCTCCCAACAGCATCCCCCGCCCCCACTATCCTTTTAAGCCTACATTTCCCATGGCCAACCCACCCCAACCTGCACGTCTCTGGACACTACGGGGTAATTTAGCATGGCCAACCCACCCTAACCTGCATGTCTCTGCACACAACGGGGTAATTTAGCATGGCTAACCCACCCTAACCTGCACGTCTCTGGACACTACGGGGTAATTTAGCATGGCCAACCCACCCTAACCTGCACGTCTCTGGACACTACGGGGTAATTTAGCATGGCCAACCCACCCTAACCTGCACGTCTTTGCAATTTGGGAGGAAACCAGAGCACTCTGAGGAAACCCCACTCCACACAGACATTCACCCGAGGCTGGAATCAAACCTGGGACCTAGCCGCCATGAGGCAGCAGTGCTAACCACTGAGTCACCGTGCCACCCCATGTTAGCTCCACTCCTCCAAAGACACCATTGTCCGGTCAGGGGTCTAACACTGGATTCCTTCCCATTGTTAACATCTACTTCCGATTCACTACCAGGTTTTCATGCATCTTAATCTCGCCGTAGCTAAACCCTACAAGGTGGCTTGCCGTCTCTCTGAGGCCCCGTTCATGTACCCCTGGCTGCTGTTCCACTTCTGAGCCCCGTCTATTTCCGCTTGTACCCTCGCTCTCTTTATAATCGTTTTCTCTCCAGACAAACTGGTTTGGCTGCATGTTCGTTGAACTTCTCTCGTCTGTTGAAACTGCTGGCGTCCCAGGCTCACCCTGGAATGCTTCTCTCCTCGACTGCAAACCATCTTCGCAAACCGCTCTCCCCTCCACAATCTCCTCCAAAAACAAGAAAGTGTGTTATGGACTAGATCAGCACTCCCACAACTCCCACCCCCCCCCCACCCCCCCTTCCCCCTCCACATCCCCACCCCAACCACCCCAAAATATTTTAAGAAGGTAGCCTAGACCCTAACTACTTCTTATTTTAAAGGCAAATGTGAAGTGCCTGTTCCCGTTACAATACGGCTGGTCAAACCACTCGACATTAAGCAAACCACAATTTATTTAAACTCCGTAGTTAAGATACAACCAAAGAAATAGGAATTTAGAATAACAACTCTATTACACTCTATTAAACTTAACTGAATAATAGATACAGTATCGATAACTAATCAACTGTTTCAATACAGTAACATCCCATAAACACACCCCTTGGCAAAAAAAAAAATTCAGACACAGATTCTCACGTGCAGTTTTCCAATCTAGCAGGAAAAAATATTTCGAGAAGATTCAGCGAGGGCAACAGCCAAGAGACATTCAACTCTTTTGAGACCCCAACTCTTTCTGCTGATACTCAGAAAACCCAGTCTGTGTGAGCTAGCCACACCCAGGCTGCTTCTAACTTTGAAAAAAAAACATCAAGGCCTCACAAGCTGTTTACTCATGTGGTCTTCAGTAGACGGCTCAGTGCCTCTGCCTTACGACCTCTCTTCAAAACAAACCAGGCCAAAGTAACCTCTTGAAAGCCTCAGCATCTTCAAAGTGAGGACTTCATGAGCTACACTGTCATGACGATGGAGATAACACTATCTGCCTCTGGTGTGGCCCTCCTTTACATTAGCCAAACTTCCTGTGATGTTGCCCCCTCTTTCCCGCACCCTTCCCTCCCCTGGCCTGAAACTCAAAACGTTCTCCATTTGCTCTCCCAACATCCCTGATGCCCTCTCATCTTGTCCTTGAGATCGACTTGGATCCTATTCCCACTAAGTTGCTGATCACCCTACTCCTCCATCCTGGTACTCTATATTAGTCGGCGTTGTAAACAATTATAGAGCCATAGAGTTGTACATATACCAGCCTCCATCACCCTCAGGTCCCTTTTAAATCTTTCCCCTCTCACCCTAAACCTATGCCCCTCTAGTTTTGGACTCCTCTACCCTGGGGAAAAGACCTTGGCTATTCACCCCTATCCGTGCCTCTCATGATTTTATAAACCTCTATAAGGCCAGCCCTCAGCCTCTGACACTCCAGGGAAAACAGCCCCAGCCTATTCAGCCTCTCCCTATAGCTCAAACCCTCCAAACCCAGCAACATCCTTGTAAATCTTTTCCGAACCCTTTCAGGTTTAACAACATCCTTCCTCTAGCAGGGAGACCAGAACTGAATGCAGTATTCCAAAAGTGGCCTCACCAAATCCTGTAGTGCTGCAACATGACATCCCTAGTGAGGCCACACTTGGAGGACTGTGTGCAGTTTTGGTCTCCTTAATTGAGAAGAGATATACTAGCACTGGAGGGGGTGCAGAGGTTGATTCCAGAGTTGAGAGGGTTGGATTATGAGGAGAGACTGAGTAGACTGGGATTATACTCATTGGAATTCAGAAGAAAGAGGGGAGATCTTATAGAAACATAAGATTATGAAGGGAATAGATAAGGTGGAGGCAGGGAGGTTGTTTCCACTAGCAGGTCAAACTAGGACTAGAGGGCACCGCCTCAAAATAAAATGTAAGACTGAGGTCAGGAGGAACTTCTTCACCCAACGGGTTGTGAATCTGTGGAATTCCCTGCCCAGTGAAGCAGTTGAAGCTACCTTGCTGAATGTTTTTAAGGCAAGGCTAGATAAATTTTTGAACAGTAAAGGAATTAAGGGTTATGGTGAGTGGGCGGCTAAGTGGAGCTGAGTCTCAAAAAGATCAGCCATGATCTTATAAATGGCGGGGCAGGCTCGAGGGGCCGGATGGCCTACTCCTGCTCCTAGTTCTTATGTTCTTATGTAAATCTTTCCCCTCTCACCTTAAACCTATGCCCTCTAGTTTTGGAGTCGCTCATCCTGGGGAAGAGACCTTGGCTATTCACCCCTATCCTTGCCCCTCATGATTTAATAAACCCTCTGTAACGTCACCTCTCAGCCTTTGATGCTCCACGAAAAACTGCCCCAGCCTACTCAGCCTCTCCCTACAGCTCAAACCCTCCACCCCCAGCAACATCCTTGTAAATTTTCTTCTGAACCCCTTCACGTTTAACATCTGTCCTATAGCAGGGAGACCAGAACTGAACGCAGTATTCCAAAAGTGGCCCTAACCAATGTCCTGTGCAGCCACAACATGACCCTCCCAACTCCTGTACTCAATGCACTGACCAATAAAGGCAAGCGTACCAAACGCCTTCTTCACCACCCTGTCTACCTGCGACTCCACTTTCAAGGAACTATTAACCTGCACCCCAAGGTCTCTTTGTTGATCAACACTCCCCTCCCCACGACCTTACCGTTAAGGTGCATTAGTCCTGCCCTGATTTGCCTTACCAAAATGCAACACCTCACAGCCACATTGCCCAAAAGCATGACATTATCTTTCAGACATACCACAGACGATGCCCAGCCCAAACTCACCACTTAACTCCTCACTGTGGCCGAATTATCAGACACCTCGTGCAATACGCAGAGATTTCTTCTGATTTGGTGTGGGGTAAACTGAGCCATTGCCTTTTTTTTGGATTTAGCTCCAAAGTCTACTCTCCAGCTACGTATTCCGACCTCCCTCCTGGCAACAGTCTGAGGTTAAGTCAGTTTGTTCACATCCTTAAGAGTCACGTTGAACCCCAAGATGAGTGACTCACCTCGGATTCATGCTGACCTCTGCAACGTGGCTCGCCCTCACGCATCTCAGCTCACCCTGCTGCTGAAACCCTCTCCTCAGCCTTTGTTACCTCCAGGCTGTACTATTTCAACCCATTCCTGGATGCTTCTCCCAAATTCTGGGCTCTCAAAATCTCGGCTGATCAAGAACTCCGCTGCCTGTGTCTTCATTTGCAACAGTCATGTTCCTGTACCATTCTGGGTGCCTGCTGGCCTATGCTGGCTCCCGGTCAAGTCTGGATGTCGGAATTCTCATCTTTGATTTCAAATCCCTTCTTGGTCTCGTGCCTCCCCATCTCTGTCGTCTCATTGAAGCCTGTGACCCTCTGGGATCTCTGTGCTCCTCTAATTCCGGCCTCACGGCACCAGGGACCCGGGTTCGATTCCAGGCCCAGGCGACTGTCAGTGTGGAGTTCACATATTCTCCCCGTGTCTGCGCGGGCTTCCCCCGAGTGCTCCGGTTACCTCCCACAGGTGAAAGATGTGCAGGTTAAGTGAATCGGACATAGTAAATTGCCCCACAGTGTCCAGGAATATGCAGGCTAGGTGGGTTAGCCACGGGAAATGCAGGGTTACAGAGACTGGGTGGGTCTGAGTGGGATGCTCTTCAGACAGTCAGTGTGGACTCAATGAGCCAAATGGCCTGTAGGGCTGTATGATTCCCACATTTTAAATTGGCCCACCATTGCTGAATATGCCTTGAGTTGTCTGGAGTGGATTTCCCTTCCGACCTAACTCCAGGTTTTTCTAGAGATAGTAAGAACTGCCGATGCTGAAGTCAGAGATAACACAGTGTAGAGCTGGATGAACACAGCTGGCCAAGCAGCATCAGAGGAGCAGGAAAGCTGATGTTTCGGGTCTGGACCCTTCTTCAGACTTCCCTTGACTGACCAACCCCCATCCTAACTCCCCACCTACACTCACCTTTACTGGCTCCATCCCTGCCTCCTTGACCTGTCCGTCTTCCCTTGGCTGACCAACCCCCATCCTAACTCCCCATCTACACTCACCTTTCCCGCTCCTCTGATGCTGCTTGGCCTGCTGTGTTCATCCAGCTCTATATTGTGTTATCTCCAGGCTTTTCTATCCTGCTTTCTTCCCTTAAGACTCTCCTTAATACCTACCTCTTTGACCAAGTCTTGAGAAAAATTTTGCGTGGATCAGTGTCATACTTTGCTTTGTAAGGTTTTTGTGAAGTGCCTCGCTATGTTTCATTATGTTTAGAGGTGTTGGATAAATGGAGTCCCTAAACATAGATGACGGGACCTTTGAGAGGGAGACAGACAGCAAGAAAGAAGAGGAATAAACAGAGGGGCTAAGTGAGAAGGGGGATAAAGACAGGGATTAGAGAGAAGGGAGATACAAATGGTTAGAGACAGCGAGAGAGAGAAAGAGAGAGACTTGACAATAGAAAGACAATGAGAGAGAGGGAATACAGAAAGACAAAGACGGGACAGAGAGAGAGGTAGCAAGGCACAAAGGAAAAACAGTGAAACCTGGGAAGGCAGAGAGACAGACACACACTGCGAGTGAGACAGACAGTGAGACACAGAGCAAAGCACATAGACAGAGAGACATTGACAGACAAAGAGAATTGAAAACAGCTTGTAAAATCTCACCTGTGGGACAAGCTGTCTCCAGACTCTGCAGAAGGTGAGCCTAAATTGAAGAGAGAAGTTAACTTGGCCACAAATATGAATTCAGAGACTCTCACAGCCCAATTTATAACAGTCCCCGGTTCCTGGTCCAATCTGATACTTGATCCATAAGAGTATGAAGTGCTGTCGAATGAGTATAGGGGACAGGCAGTAGGGGGTTGTGGCACAACTGTTAGTGACCCCCTCAAACAAACAGAAAGGGCTCAAGTTCTACTACTGCTGAGTTTTCCGATTAGGCAAGTGTTGGAGGGACCCCCGAGGTCACTTCCGTTTTCAATGCAACCCCCATCTCTGGTGGAAAGAGGGAGGGGGAGGGAGAGAGAGCTGCAGATTTCCGATCAGTGATCCACGCTGGAAAAATGCGCCTGCACCAGGGAGCGAGTGAAGAACAGGAGAAACTTCAGGTGTGATCGCAAAATGGCTACAGCAGACAGGGCAGCCCATTTGGACCGTAGAATCCATTTGTCCTGACACTTTTGATAACAAAGTGTACAGCTGGATGAACAAAGCAGGCCAAGCAGCATCAGAGGAGCAGGAAAGCTGATGTTTCAGGTCTGGACCCTTCTTCAGACTTCCCTTGACTGACCAACCCCCATCCTAACTCCCCACTTTCGAGGAGAAATCCAGTTAGTTCCACCCATCTTTGCTCCTCACCCTTCCAGGTACTTTTTCCAATTCCCCGCTAAAGGGCCACCATTGAGTTTGTTTCTTACCAGCCCATCCAGCAGCATGCTCAATGCATTTGTCCCATGCTCACCTCTAGTTCCGTCAGTAATCACCTCAGCTTATTAACACATTAAACTACTGAATGTTCAGACAGACTGATGTCCTTCCAAAGGCATGGCCTCCAACAAATTAAAAATAAAACGACAACGACAGCAAAACACAAGGGAACGCCAACATCTGCAAGATACCCTACCAAGCCCCAGGCACCATCCTGACTTGGAACTATTTTGCTGTTCCTTCACTGTTGCCGGGTCAAATTTGGAATATATTTTCAAGTCAGGAGTGCGGGTGGCTTGGAGGGGGAACACGCAGGGGGCTGGTGTTCCCATGTATCTGCTGCCCCCCCCTTGTCCTTCTCGGTGGTAGAGAGGTGTGAGTTTGGAAGGTGCTGTCTAAGGAGCATCGGTGAGTCTCTGCAGTGCGTCTTGTAGATGGTACACACTGCTGCTGCTGAGCGTCGGTAAAACTATCTGGAATTAGGAATTTTAAAATGACCATAATCCATTGCCGATTGTTGAAAACATCCTATCCGGCTCACTAATGTCCTTCAGGGAAAGAAATCTGCTAATCTCACCTGGTCTAGCTCCAGAGCCACTGCAATGTGGTTGACTCTCAACTGCTCTCTGAAACAGCCTAGAAAGCCACTGAATTGTACTAATTGCTACAAAGTCTCAACAAAGAAATGAAACCAGGCCGACCACCTAGCATTGACCCAGGCACCAGAAAATACAATGGTAGAAATAGCCCTGTTAACCCTGCGAAGTCCTCCTTAATAACATCTAGGGGGCGAGTGTCAAAATTGGGAGAGCTGTCTCACAGACTAGTCAAGCAATGGCCTCACATAGTCATACTCACAGAAACATACTTTATAGACAATGTCCCAGACACAGCCATCACCATCCCTGGAAGGACAGACCCAGCAGAGGGGGTGTCACAGTGGTATACAGTCAGGAGGGAGTTGTCCTGGGAGCCTTCAAAATTGACTCCGCATCCCACAAATTCAGGTTAAACATAGGCAAGGAAACCTCCTGCTGATTATCATGTACCGTCCTCCTTCAGCTGATGAATCAGTATTCCTCCGTGTTGAACGACACTTGGAGGAAGCACTGAGGATGGCAAGGGTGCAAAGTGTACACTGGGTGTGGGAATTTCAACGTCCACCACCGTGGAGTGTCCCCTCCTACTCCCCAGGAAAACGACTCACTCCCCCAGCAAAACAGCCCCCCAAAAAAAAATCAGTCCGAGTCCATATGTCCCTCCTGCCTTTCCAGGGAGAGGCCCTGAATCTGTCCTGTCTCTCCCACCAACTCCCCTGAGATCCCCTCCTCCTTTCTGATTCTCCTCGGGCAGGCATTTCACTCACCCATGATCGCGTCTCTCGGCGTGCTCCTCCCGGAGGCGATGGAGCTTCCTCTGGGTGTCTGCAAATGAGATAGAGGAGTCAGGCAGGATGTGAAGCTTAGCGATCGCGCTGGACGGTTGGCACACCGCTTGATTCGCTGACATTGCACGGGAAAGGAGGACGGTGCCCCCCCATCAGATCCCCAGCCTCCCGGGTTCTGCTGGATTGGCCGCACTGGGATCGAGGTCACTCAGCCACCTGTTTTCTCACCTGAGAGCCTCACCTCTGTGGTGTAACTGGTTCTCAAAGCAGTAAGTGCCCGCTTCCAACCACTGGGTGTACGATTTCAGACATTCCCAGGGAGCAGTAACGGGAGAGCAACCTCAGAAATAAAGGCAAGGACAAAAGTTAGAGCCTCTGCTCCTGATCACCGCACAATGACTTCTTGGAGGGAGGTAGGTGTGTATGTTTATAGGTGCGCGTGTGTGCATACACGTGTTGGTACAACTGTGTAGTTATGTACATGCACCTGCGTATATATGTGTGTGTGTGTGTGTGTGTGTGTGTAATCATGTATGCGCACTTGCATGTGGGTATCTGACTGTTATTGTGTACATGCGCCTGAATGTCTATGTGTGTCTGTCTGACTGTGTAACTGTGTTTGCCTAGGTACATGTCTATCCAACTGTGCAATCGTATATGTGCACCTGCATGTGCGTGTGTGTGTCTGTCTGACTGTGCAATTTTATATAGAGATAACAAGGTGTAGAGCTGGATGAACACAACAGGCCAAGCAGCATCAGAGGAGCAGGAAAGCTGACGTTTCGGGCCTAGACCCTTCTTCAGAAAATGTGTGCAATTTTACATGTGTGGTTGCATGTGTGTGCGTGTTTGTCTGACTGTGTAATTGTGTATTTGCGACTACATGTGTATTTGTCCAATTGTGGCGCGGTGGCTCAGCGGTTAGCACTGCTGCCTCATGGCGCCAGGGACCCAGGTACGACTCCAGCCTCAGGTAATTGTTTGTGTGGAGTTTGCACATTCTCCGCGTGTCTGCGTGGATTTCCTCCGGTTTCCTCCCACAGTCCAAAGATGTGTGGGTTAGGGTGGATTAGACTTGCAAAATTGCCCCATAGTGTCCAGGGATTGTGCAGACTGGGTGGGTTAGCCATGGGAAATGCAGGGTTACAGGGACAGAGTAGGGGCGTGGGTCTGGGTGGAGCCGATCAGCTGAATCGCCTGTTTCCACACTGTACAGATTCTGTGATTCTACTCTATATATATTCTCAATGGTAAGAGCAGTATGTGAGTATGAATGTGTGGACACATTGAACAAGAACCAGGGCACTGGCTGAAATGTGAACACTTGTCTCACATTCACTGTTTCATCTCGTGGCAAGTACCGGATCCTGACAAGGACTGGGGAGTCTTTGTTTCAACGGACACAGGAACAGACTGTGTGGAGCTGTCACTAGCACACTGCACTGGAGATGCACACATTTGTGGCAGAGGTAAGGGCAGTCACAGTGTAGATAGATATAGTGGTGACAGCAGTCACACAGAAGAGACACACAAAGCAAGGGCAAGAGGAATCAGACTGTAGAGACACGTGGAGCAGAGCTGAGAGCACATACTCCATTGAAACACGCAGAGCAGACGCGAGAACAGACACCCTCTACAGATACAGGGAAGAGAGGTGAGATCAGTCATATGAGGAGAGGTGGAGGACTCTGGGTCTGTATTCGATGGAGTTGAGAAGCATGAGGCGGGAGACATGATTGAAACGTACAGGATACTGAGAGGCCTGGATACAGCTGACCTGGCAAAGATACTTCGAATAGTAGGAGACTAGGACTCAAGGGCAAAGCCTCAGTGTGAAGGGTCAACCCTTTGGAACTGAGATGAGGAGGAATTTCTTCAGCCAGAGGCGGGTGAATCTGTGGAACTTATTGCCACAGAGGGCTGTAGAGGCCTGGTCATTGAGTGTATTTAATACAGAGATAGATAGTTTCTTGGTGAGTAAGGGGATCAAGGGTTACAGGGAGAAGGGAAGAGAATGGAGCTGGGAAACATATCAGCCACGATCAAATGGTGGAGCAGACTCAATAGGCCGAATGGCCAATTCTGTTCCAATATCTTACGATCTTTAGTTACAGCATACGTAGATTGTTGAACGTTGGTACTTACCAGCAGACCACCCGACCTAGATACACTGTTCCCAGACATCTGTCCCACTGACTCCGGCCTGCTGTTTGATAGGATGTGAGGGAAACAGAATAAGCCATCAATCCAGTTTAAGACCTGTAGTAATTGCTTCAGTACTATGTGCCACAGCGTTCTGCTTAACCCCTACCCTCCCCAAACCCTTTGGACAAACTAACTCAATCATAGGAGTAGAAAGCAGGCCATTCAGCCCATCGAGTATGCCCCGCCATTCAATGAGATCGTGGCTGATCTGATCATCCTCAACTCCCACTTTCCTGCCTTTTCCCCACAACCCTCGATTCCCTCACTGATTAAAAATCCCTCTCTCAGCCCTGACTACCCTTAGTGACCCAGCTTCAACAGCCCTCTGCGGTGAAGAATTCATCACCCTCAGACTAGAAATTAATCCTCATCTTTCATCTCCCTCACTCTGAGATAACGCCCTCTGGTGCTGGACTCTCACCCAGGGAGGAAACAACCATTCCGCATCTATCCTGTCAAGCCCTTTCAACAAAATTTCTTCTCATTCCTCTAAGCTCCAAAGTGTACAGGCCAACCTGTTCACTAATCAGTCCCTCCATACCCAGTAACAGCCAAGTGACTCTTCCCTGGACTGCCTCCAATGCCAGTAAATCTTTCCTTAGGAAAGGGCCCAAAATTGTTCACAATATTCCAGCTGTAGTCTGACTAGTACTTGTACAGTCCAGGTCACTGAAACAAAGGCCAACAGTACATTTGTCTTCCCTATTATTCGTTACATTTGGATGCTAGTTCTTAGGGAGTCCTTGTGCATGAATCACGAAGTCCCTCTCCATTGTAGCGTTCCCCATTTTAAATTACGTTCACCTTTTTTTCGCAGCGGCATGTTGGCTCAGTGCTTAGCACTGCTGCCTCACGGCACCAGGGACCCGGGATTGATTCCATCCTCAGGCGACTGCCTGCATGGAGTTTGCACATTCTCCCCCCGTGTCTGCGTGGGGTTTCCCCTGGGCGCTCTGGTTTCCTCCCACAGTCCACAAAGATGCGCAGGTTAGGAGTACTGGCCACGCTAAATTGCCCCACAGTGTCCAGGGATCTGTAGAAATGTGGGATTACAGGGATAGGGTAGAGGAGTGGGAAGCTGTCTGGAGGATCGGTGTAAACTTGACGGGCCAAATGGCCTGCTTCCGCACTTCAGGGATTCTATATTTCCTGCTAAAGTGCAAAACACACATCTTCTCATTCCGTCTGCCAAACTTTTCCCCACTCACTTAACCTGTCTATATCCCTCCCTTTGTCATCCACAAACTTGGTGATTCACTTCCATCATCCGTATCATTCATATATACTGTAAATATTTATTGCTCAGCACTGAGCTCCATGGCACTCCACTAATTACAGGTTGCTATCCTGAAGATGTCTCCCTTATCCTAGCTCTCTATCCATCAACAACCTCTGTGTATTGATAAGATACAATCTCCTTCACCATAGGCTCTTAACTTACCAAGTAGCATTATGTGCAGTACCTTATCAAGCGCTTCAGCAATACCCTCAATGTCTCACTGGGGAAGTCGGCATTCCCACAGACACCTGGCAATCCCTGGCCCACGACCGTCCAAAGTGGAGGAGCAGCATCCGAGAAGGTGTCCAGCTCAAGACTCGCCATCAGGAAAAATCAGAAGCCAGGCGAAAACAGCGAAAGGAGCGCGCTACCACACCAATGCCCCACCAACCCTTCCCGTGACCACCTACTACCCCAAGTGTATCAGAGTCTACAGTAGCCGCATCGGTCTGTACAGTCACTTACAGGCTCACCCTGAGAGTAGGAGAGAGTCATCCTCGTCTGTGAGGGACCGCCAATGACCTTATCAAATGCCTGTCAGAACCCTAAAATGTTACACCGACTGGGTCCCATGTATCACTTCCTCAAAGAACTGAAACGAAGTTCCTCAGGCATGATCTCCCCTTCACGAAGCCATGCTGACTCTACTTGATTATTGTTAGGAAGGAGAGGTCAAACCCCTCTGTTAACTAAAATCGAAACACTAGCCCCCAGTCTGTTACGGCGGGAGTAGAGGTCCCCTTCTAATAATTTCACACAAAACGCCCAGAGAAGCTCACGTCGCCTAATCTGTTAAACTGTTACAGAGAAGGGGAGGTTAAATGAAAAAAGAACCCTGATATTCACTTTAGAAGTAACAAATAGCAATTTATTCATTTAACCCTAACAGTGAACAAATTAACAGAATTACTAACAAACCGAACAATTCCCCCTTAACTACTAAATTCTACTGGTGTGCTGTTCCAATAAACTCAAGTCTCACTTATATGAACCCTTTCCAGTTTAATAATATCCTCCCTATAACTGGACGACCCGAACTGCACACAGCGCTCCAGGAGAGGCCTCACCAACGTCATGTACAACCTCAACATGACATCTCAACTGCTGTGCTTAAAGGTCTGAACAATGAAGGCAAGCATGCCAAATGCCTTCTTAACCACCCTGTCTACATGTGATGCAAACTTAACTAAGCCTGCAATAATGATAGCTATTGTATTTATTTCTTCCTCTACTTTAGCTCCTTGGTCATTTAGTATTTTTGGAATGATGCTAATGTTCACCACTGTGAAAACAGATGCCAAGTATTTTTTTTTCATCTCCTCTGCCATTTCCCCCTGTCCTGTTATTATTATTTTTCAAGCCTCATTCACTGTGTTGACTTTGACCTGTCTCTTCCATTTTACACATTTAATGAAGCTCTTGTTGTCTGTTTTCATAATCATTTGCTAGTTTAACCTCATACTTTACATTTCTCCTTGTTTACTTTTTGGTTGTCTTTGCTAGCTTCTAAAATTTCCCCAAACCTCTGTTTTACCACTAATCTTTGCCACATCGTATGAAATTGGAAGAAACAATTATACAATCTTTAACTTCCCCAGTTAGCCACGGTCAGCTCATCCCCTTCTTAGAATCCCTTTTCCTCACTTCGAGATGTTGAGAGTCACGAACAACTTCATAACCATGTGCCGTTGTTCTTCATCCACCTTTTCTGCTAAATTCCTTTCCCCAGTCCACTCCAGCCAACTTCGCTCTCATTCCTTTAAGCCACATGGTTAATGCCTGGATCTCATTTACAGATCAGCGGAGGTCGAGTCACAGAACTAGTGCTCCCCACTGCCAGAGCTATCGTGCTGTGGATGAGATGTCAAACTGAGGACCCTGTGGGTGAATGCAGCAGATTCCAAAGTAGCTTCTCCGAAGAAATGCATGGACAGAGAAGGTGTCACATGTTGGGAGTGTTCTCCATGGAGAAGGTTAAGAGGAGATTTGATTGGGATATTCAAAACAGTGAGTGGCCTGGATAGAAAAGGTTTGTAAAAACTATTCTCGATGGATGAAGGATTGAGACCAAGGGGGCTCAGATCTAGAGTAATTGGTGAAAGAAGCAATGGCAACACGAGGAGAAACCTTCTCACGCAAACGGTGCTTAGGATCTGGACTGCACAGTCCCAGAACATGGCAGAGGCAGGTTCAACGGAGGCATTCAAGAGGGAATTGGATTACTATGTGAAAAGGATGAATGTGCAGGGCTGTGGGGAGTGGCAGTGGGTGAATCGCTTATCCGGAGAACTGGTGCAGCATTGCGACAGAAACAGATTTTCTGGATCTTGTCACACTACTGCTGGTGCCCCACTTCTCTAGGTTACAACAGTGACTGAACCTTACAGGCACTGCATCAGCCGTAAAGCGCTCTGAAGCATCCATTTCTGAGGCAGGTGAGGGAGGCACTGCTGCCTCTCAGCGCCGGGGTCCCGGGTTCGATCCCACCCTCGGGCGACTGTCTGTGAGGAGTTTGCATGTTCTCCCCTATGTGTTTGCTCGGGTTTTCTCCGGGTGTTCCGGTTTCCTCCCACAGTCCAAGGATGTGCAGGTTAGTGTGGATTGGCCATGCTAAATTACCCCATAGCGTCCAGGGATGTGCAGGCTTAGGTGGGTTAGCCATGGGAAATGCAGTATTACAAGGATAGGGTAAGGTCTGGGAGGGATGCTCTTCGGAGCGTCAGTGTGGAGTCAATGGACCGAATGGCCTGCCTCCACACTGTAGGGATTCTACGAATGGAGGTCTGTCTTTTCTCTTGCCTTCCAGGGCACTAGCTGTCAGGCGATGGGGTGGGCAGGGCGATCGTTTCCCTCCCACACTTTTTGTGAGCTCGGGTGCTGGGGCAGGCTCCAGTGTGTGAAATTTTCTTCTGATGCCCTCAAAGGGAGGGGGTGGGAATCAGAGCATGCGACCTCCTTTCACACATTAACTGGTCTTACTGGGTGTTGTGTTTGTGTGGTCGCCCCGAGGGGGGATGGGCAGGGCTGGAGAAGAATATTGACCGTCAGGTCAGTCAGCATTCCCAAGATTCTTTCTCCCCTGCCAGGAAAGTGCAAACAGCATGAGACTGACCACCAATAAATTACACTCAGGACTAAGCTCCACATCCACCTCCCCTCCCCCACCCCAAGTCCCCCAACCTGCTGACACAACAAGGTGCAGAGCTGGATGAACACAGCAGGCCAAGCAGCATCATAGGAGCAGAAAGGCTGACGTTTTGGGCCGAGACCC